CGCCGCCGCGGCCGCCGCCGCCGCCCGGCCCCGCGCCGGCGGCGTACCTCGGGCCGCGCTTCCGCCAGGGCGCGCGCGTGCTGTCCGCGGCGCCGGGCGGCGCGCCAGAGCCGGGGACCGTCGGGATGGTGGTCAGCGCGGCGGGGCCGGACCCTACCTACAGGGTGGCCTTCAGGGACAGGCTGGGGGAGGTTCATGACAGCGCCCTGGCGCCCGACGCGCCGCCGGGGTCGCGGGTCGCGTTCGTCGAGGCGGCGGGCGCGGCGGGAGTGGGGGCGACGGTGCTGGCGGCAGACGCGGGCGCGTGGTAGGTGGCGGCGCGCGTGTGGCCGCGGCTGTATTTTTGGCGGCGGCGCCAGGGCGCTTGGGCGGGCGCGGCCGGCAGCTGCTGTGCTCGATCGTGGGGCTTCCCAGAGCGGGTCGCGCCCCTTCCTTGCACTGCTGCCCATCCGCCTTCCGTTGCACCTCGCTCGACTGCATCAGGCACGCAGCCTGTGCAACTCCCCTTGCCCCACTGCCCAATGCCCCCACGCCCGCCATCAGGCCGCCCTCGTTTCTGCTGCGCTGCGACAACGGCCGCGACGTCCCCGCGTCTTACGGCCAGATCACCCTCGCGATCGATGTGGATCCAGACCCCTACCAGCAGCAGCAGCCGCAGCAGCCGTCGCCGCAGCAGCAGCAACCGCCGCCGCCGCCGCTGCCGCAGCAGCAGCAGCAATCACCGACGTCGTCGCACCACGCACGCCACCAGAACCCCCTGGCGTCCGCCGCAGCCGTCGTCGCCGCTGCCGTCCGCGCGGGGGCGCCGCCGCAGCCGCCGCCGCCGCCGGCGCTGGCGCCGGCAGCTGCCGCGCAGCTGCCCGCGCCGGTGCCCGGCTACCAGCCGCCGCTGCAGGCCATCCAGGACGCCCAAAAGGCGGCCAAGTATGCTGTTTCATCGCTGTCATTCGATGACATCAGCGGGGCCGTCAAGTACCTGTCTGAGGCGCTGCGGCTGCTGACTCAGCCTGGGGCGGCGCGGTCCTAGCTGCGTCGCGCTGGGGCTGCTGCTGCTTTGGAGGCTCGGCTGGGGTGTTTCAAGTGCTTTTTGTCGCACGCCGCCGCCGCACGGCCACGGGCGCCGCCCTAGGCGGCCGCCGCACCTGCCCTCGCAGCCCGGGGCAGCGCCGCAGGCGCGGCTCAAGGATTTCCATGTGCGTGCGGCGTGTCCGGTGGGGGTTGTCCCAACGCCGCCGGTATCCCCAGCTGTGCTGGTCTGTGCATGTGCGGCGCACAGGGGTTTCACAAACACAACTGGCAAGGAGCGAGGGTGGGGAGTTTGTCTGATGCAGTGGCGGGGCGAGGTAAACCCCATCACAGGGCGCGAACCCCTGCTTTTGGGCAGCCGCCGTCTCCCCCCCCTGTGGCAAGGCATGGTAACGTCGCTTGGCGGTTGAGGGTTACAAATCGTGTGTCACCATCTGTCAGGGTCGTGCCCAGCCTGATCATCCCATGGGTTGATGTTGACAGCACAACCATGAATGATAGCGAACACGAAGTCTTCAAGTGCGCAGCAGGTCACAGCAGATATCTTCAGGATTGCAAAGGAGAGTCACAGCACACGCTACACAACAAGCTGCCAGACGGTATGGCCTCCCGTCACCCCCACTTCCCGGTCCATGCCGCCCGGGGCAGGCTCGCGCCCGCCGAGCTCCACCCGGCCGCCTCCACGCCGCCGAGCCACGCGCCATAGCCGCCCCGCACCCACCGCTCGCTAGCGTCCACCAGCGCCTTGACCCCACTGCTGCCGCCGCCGCCGCCGGCGGCCCCAGCAGCGGCAACCACCGCCACGTCAGCGTGGCGTGCGAGGTACAGCGCGTGTACGTATGCGCGCAGCTGCACCTCCTCGCCTGCCGCGTGCGAGAGCGCAACCAGCACGCGGCCCTTTGCATCGAGTGCGACAAAGTACTCCCCCGCCGCGCCGCCCCGCTGCGCCTGCAGCAGCGCCCCCGCGCGCGGCGCGCGCC